ATACAAACTATTTAGAGGCTATTTACAACATATTATTTACAGGCAATTTACACCATATTATTTACAGGCTATTTACACCAAACTGTTTACAGGCGATTTATATTTTTGTACAAAGTGACCCTAGTCAATTTTTTTTAGCGATCCGAAGGAATCGTCGCATCTCGTCTGGGTACATTTTTGCGAGATCTTTGTGTCCCATACCGGCCGCGATCTGACGCATGCGGTACGTCAGGAGTTTACCCGTTGTATCGCCGAAGAGCTCGGCACGGCTCTTTATAACGCTACAAAGCGTGTATACGCTCGTCCAGCTGCGGGGCAACCGTACGACGTAATAGACGATGGCCGCGTCGTGGTCGATCGTCCATGTAAACGTTGACTTGACGTTAACCGCATGCGTGGCCTGTCGTTTGGCAGGCTGAGCGACGCGGGAATCTTCGTCTGACATTTTTTGCGCTGCTAGTCGCGCTGACCTTTTCGCTCCGATGACCCGCGCTCCCTCGCAACGAATACCTCTCGTTAAGCGATCGACCGACGTCGCTCGGCGTCTTCCCTTTCCATGTCTGAGAATGATGGCGATATGGGTCTCCTCTTTCTCGGTGGCCTTACGAGCGGCTTCGGACTCGTCCGCTGAGCGCACCGTGACTCGCGTCTCAGGCACGATAGGAGTCCGGAGCGATCGAGAGGGAGTTTTCGTCGACGGGTCCTCGTGGACGATGGCGGTCGTGACGACGACCCTCCACGATGTCGACGGAGACTCCTCTCTCGTCATGATCGTTCTCGTCGGCGAATGCGACGGCGGCGGTGATGGCGGCGGTGGTGGTAGCAGCGGCGAAGGCGGCGACAAAGGCAGTAACGGCGACGGTGGTGATGGTGGTCGTGACGATTGTGTCTCTGGTGGTGGCGGTGGCGGTCTCTCTCGGTTCACCATCGTCATTTTTCGACGCACCTGTTCGACCGTGAAAGGACGCTGGTCGGTCGGTGCATGGTGTTTCACCAAAGACCATTTGTACGTCGCTGTACTTTCCCGGATCAATTTGACCGGGAAGATCTGTACATTCGACGTTACAAACTCGGTCATTTTTTCTGCCAGCGTCCTTCTGTCGTCGTCACCGTGGATGCCCGTGCACGATAGTGCCAACCTGGAGAAGGTGGTGGACGGATCGTCGACTATCCCCTTGACGATATTAGCAGGAGATAGATAGCCGCTGCACGTTCGGCGGCCTCCTCGCTGCTGATATGTCTTGATGAACCAGCGTACGGTGAACATGCTGGTCGCTTTTGGGAATAGTCGGCAGCTGAGGCGGACGATGTCCGTTTTCAGGACTGTGCGCGATCGTCCGGAGAACGAGGCCGTGTAGGCCATCGTCGCGTACAGCGTAATCGTGTACGCGACGGTGTTGTTCATCCGGACGTCGCGCATCCTCGCCTCATGACGAGACCACACGCCGTGGTTTACTAACCACGCGTGTCTCACGACTCGCATCTGCTTTAACGTGAGTCTCGTCGTGTACAGCGGGAACGCGAAACTGTCCTGGTCGTCCTCCAGCGACCTCAGCTGCACGATTCCGTCTTGACACGACTGCGCCTCGTTACCTCTCGCGAAGAGGTGCCGGGACACTGCGAAGCTGAATACAGGCGATGTTCCATGTACGAAGTACAAAGTTCTGAATTCCGCCCGTATCATCTGTCGCACTATCCCGGGAGGCGCAAGGGTGAAGTTGTCCAAAGTGTCCACTCGTGTGAGGGCGTTTTTCAAAAACCGCACGTCGTTGCCTATGCAATGGTCGAAGTGAGACTGCCACTGGTGCAGTCTCACCACTAGACCCATTTGCAGTAATTTGGATATTGCGAGACACATTTCGTTCTCGAACAATCGCAAACGACATATCTCCTCGGACACAGTGGTCTCCACCCTCAACGTATCTAATGTCACCACCTCCTCTATTCGGAGAGACTGCCGAGACCTCACGTACATGTGGCTGTACGCGTACACGGCGGTCGCGTACTGCTTCGCCTCCTCGGCGATTGTTCTCTCCGTGTCGCGGTTGGCCCCTCTGAATCCGCAACATACCATCATCGCTACCGCAAAACCGGAATCTTCCGGTCTCGCCATCTTCGCGGCGGTGTTGTAGGCGTGTACAAATGTGACCGCGTGGCCTTCCCACGGAGGTGAGGCGTTCCGTGCGAAATATCCGTAGTCCGCCAGAAATCCTGTTCGAAATCGCTGGATTTTTCCGCCGAGACTCGTGGCTCCGCGGAACATGGAGAGGAGAGAGGGCTCGTCTCTTCCACTCAGTCTTACGACGAGGGGATCCTCTCCGCCGTTCTCCGTGCTGAACGTGTTGGCGCGGTGCACCTGAACGACGTCGACGTGGGGATGATCGACGTCGACAATGTCGTTCAGGAGCGTCCTGCGGCAATTTCATCCCGTGGACCGACGTGTAAAAGCTGACATAGTTCATGCCGCAGGTGAGACTCGTGTTGGTCTCGATCAGGGTACCAGTAAGTATTTTCGCCAATTTTGCGAAATTCTTCTGGTACACCTGATACGTTTCACTCACGGCGTACCTGCGGTATCTTATACCTCCTTTGCACGTGTCGAGGTCCACGGGTAACTGGCGGACCGCGGTCATTAGCACCTCTTCGACGAAGGCTTTGCAGGATGCTTTCAGTCGACCCTCCTGTTCGTGCGTCGAGCGTTCAGGCACACCGTCGAAAAAGGTGCTCGTTTCATCCAATTGGTAGACGATCGCGATCTCGCGGTTGTCTACCAGTACAAGGTTGAACTCGTACCAATTCCGGTTTCCCTGGAGAATTGGCTTTTCGCGATTAGTTTGCAACGACGGCTCGCGCAAGCACTGGAATTTACAGCGATTCTCCAGGTACTTTGTAAACTTGACGTTCTTCACGACCGTAGGGATCCTAGGGTACGTGAAGACGCGGTACGTATACCGGCAACGGTACGGTTCGAGGGAGCGGCAGCTCACAAGAATGCTATCGATGTCGTAATCGATATCTAGGAAAGCGCCGCTCGCGTATTCGACGTCCACTGAGGGCGGGTTGAGGGCGGATACGATCGTTGTCTCCACCTCTTCCTCCTTCACTCTTTCCTCCTCGTCTATTTTTTTTGTTTTTTGTTGTAATAAATGTCCATTCTGTTCCCACGAGTGTGGCCGATGTTCACATGTCCATCCATCCAGAGCCGCCTTGGATGGATAAGGCTGTATACTTCGAGGGATTCGCCTGGACCCTAAAGTTGCCCGACATCCCCTTTTCCGGATGCCATTCATCCATCGCCGCGCAGCTCTGCTTAGATTTGAAGATTTTTTATAGAGGTTGTCATCCTCGCGGCCCCGGGCAATTAAGCCAAGGGCCCCCGTTCCCCAGAGACGCGGTCCGCTTCCGGGACTAAGCGCAATGCGCTCTTGGACACCCGTTGACTCCGACGCTCGCGCGTGCGAGTCTCTCAAACTCCGAGAGGAATCGCGCGCGCACGAGCGTCACAGTCAACGGGTGCAGCCTCCTCACCGCGTCAAGGTGGCGCATCGCGAGGGGGAAGGATCTATGCGAGAGTGCCGCAGGCGTCTAGGGTTCGTCATCACTCGTGAGAAATTGATCATTACTTTCGTTTCAACTCGGACGGAGGAGACGCACATCGCGGGATATCGGCAGCAGTGTATCCCGGAATCGTTCCAAGTCCTGAGAGATTAACAATTTTTCAAAGTCCCGGACTTTTTTTTCCAAGTACCGACAAACTTGTGTTTCAAGGGTTCAGGGATCACTCTCGACGATTGGTCGAATCATTGTTTGGGTTAGGTTATGTTATTTCAATTGTTTGAAAATTTTTCTTCTCTTTCGGGGTTTTTTCAATTTTCGGTGAAATGTTTTCCAAGTCCTAGAAAATATCATAATTTTCCAGGAATATCGGCGACGAATATCGGCGGAGCGGCGGTGCGCCTGGTGGACCAACGGTGTATCACACGCGTCAAGTAACTTAGAATTATTTCTTCCGTTACGAATCTCTCACAACTTTTGCGGGAAACATTGGTCGTTCTTTGTTCTCGGTCCCTCGACGTCCCACGGTGTCCCTCGATGTCCCACGGTGTCCCTCGATGTCCCTCGATGTCTTCGTCCCCCGTGCAATGAGCTTTCCTCCCAGGGAGCGACAACGTCATGTGCAATGGGGTGGATGTCTCCTCCCGACGCCGTCACCCTTGGTGCAATGGAGTACTCACTCCGGGGGACCCCATCTCTTGGCCTGGAGTTTATCCACTCGCCAGGAGCACCCAGCGAGTGGAGATTCCGCCTGTGGGAGCACCCACGTCGACCATTTCCTTGTCCCCGTTCCGCAAGAACAACCCCCGCAGTCGAAAGTGCGCAGGAGCGGGTCCCACGGAGCGTCGGACGAATGGCAGGCGCAGCCAGATCGTTCATGGCAGCCGAAAAAGACCGAAGTCCACTTCCCTGACGGCGCATGACCACTGGGCGTTTGAAGTCGGAGTCGCCATCACCTACCGGCACATTGGCTAAACCCGCCGTACGATGACGGGTCGTCCAGGGGCCATAGCCCGCAATGCTACGCGCATTGCAGGCCAGAATCCCTCTTGGGGTACCGGACCCCGGAAAAAACAGGACGATTGACGAGAAAACGTTGAAAAAACGTTTTTCCGAAAACAAAAAAAGGGGGAGGGAGTGGGGTGGGGTGGGGGTGTGGGGGTACAGGGGTCCTCCCCTTTCCCTGGAGGACCCATGGCCCTCCCTTGGTGCTTCTAGGGTCGAAGACCCCTGGGGCACCGAGCCCGATCTGGCCTGGATCTGCCTTTCTTATATGATTATCGCACGGACCACGGAGTGACAGCAGTGGTTCTCATTTCGCGGATCCAAGTTCCGAAAAAAGTCAAAGGTTCCCAAACGTTCCCAAACGTTCCAAAAACCACGCACATGGAAAAACCATCGTTCAGAAAAAAAAAAACACTTATTTTTTTACCTAAAACGTCGTGTTAATCGTCCTCTGTATCCAACGCGATGCTTGTGAGTGAATTACTTGATTGGAGCAGTCGAGTAAGAAGATCCTGCAATTGCTTGAGTAGTCCGTCTGTGGGACAATTAACGTTGAGTATTTTCATGTCGAATTTATCAGCATTCGTTACCGTTCTGGTGAATTCGTTAAATTTGTAATATTGACGTTTGTGTAGGAAATAAAGAGACCAGTCGATATATCGGAAGGCTAGATTAGGAGATGGTGGTATTCCTGGAAATATCGACTGTAACGTGTGATATCCGTTAACGGTCATATGGCATTCATTCAGTAACGCTACGCTATCGTCATTGTAGATCACGTACGTTTGTCCTCTATTGATGACCAATGCTGCGTTAACGTGCATGTTCGTGGGTAACTTTAAGTCGAAAGGCCGTTTCGGCCAACCGTCCTTCAATCGTAAACTCGGATAGTCTATCATGTAAATTTGATTATCCGCGAATATTACAATTTCTCCAGATGGTCGTTGATACGCAGCGTTTATGGAAACATTCGCCGGAAGAAAACGAAGGTAATCGTTGAGCGCGAGTGGTCCTTTGTACCTCTTACCGTTGACGTCTATCATCCACATGGTTTTTCGATAGGTAACGAATATTCGATGATTCAACACCAGTACATTGTCTACGTACGGTAGATCGCACAGATCTCTTTTGTTTGATGTTGTTTTCGTTGTGTCAGTTGTTACCGATGGTGATCGTATACTCGGCACTACATTACGGTTTTTTTTTCCGTATAGACGTTGAACAGCTAAATTGTCCTCTAGACTGAGTTTAACGGTATTATTGGTGGCGTAAGGAAACATTATGGAATCTATATGTGAATTGTGCGACAATCCCAATGAATGTCCGATCTCGTGCGTTAACGTGTAAAGCAAATGCTGTTTGTTGTCTGGTACATTTTCGTTTAAATATATATGCCAATTGCGATCCGTCTATGTGTATCTCTGTGGTTTGCACGGGATCGTTCGTAGGAATCGTAGGTGCAAACGCGTGTGCGAGCACTCCACCAGGTCCGTCGAACAAACCGGAACATATTTCTTTGCGTCTACTATCGACGTATGTATGAAATCCTTCGCGGTACGTTATTAAAATGTATGGATTTAACGTTTGACGTTCGAATGTTAGAGATGTGTTCGCTGCCCATACGGAGAATGCATATGCCGTAGTTTTCAATGTATCTGCATCTGCCAAGTGGAAGTTCCACGTAAGATGCGTTTTTTTCCATTTCACTACAACCGTATTTTGTTCCTGGTGTGACATATCCGGTAACCCGCATCGCGGTTATCGTATTTGACGTAACGTATTATCGTTCAACGCACCGTTACCTGGTATTTGATAGTATTCTTGGAATAATGCGATAGCCTCTTTAATTTTTTCATCTTCGATCGACGTGTAAGTGGTTACGTCCACCTCGTTCAGGTAACCATATTTCTGCAGATATTCTACCACCTCGGTGTTTACTAAATTTTGTATCGTCGGCGTCGACGCGGATATCGTTACGGAAAGGAAAGCGACGAGGAAAGCGAGAGACATCGCGACGTACGTGTACAGCGGAAACGTACGGTTCGACTATTAATCGCATACTGCGAATGTGGAGAAAGGAGTGGTATGTTTTGTCTAAAAATAGATACAGGAAACGAGGAGATAAGAGTGTTTAAAAATAGATACAGGAAACGAGGAGATAAGAGTGTTTAAAAATAGATACAGGAAACGAGGAGATAAGAGTGTCAATGAACATGGTGCATTTTTAAAATAAAGTTTATTTTTGTAAAGCAAACATGAAAAACTTACAATAGCATATGGAATCGTCTAAATTGAGTTGAGAAAAAACATAATCACGTGTATCGTTATATAATTTTACGAACGACATTTGTCAATGGATTGTACTCTATTACTCTGTCATGAATAATTAGACAATAGGCAGTGGTGCCCGATGGAATATTTTCCCTACATTCGAATTCGATACGAATGTCCACGGTAGCGCTTTTCACAGATTCGTTTTGACGAGAGCAATCGATCACCACGAGCGGCGCGGCTGGAACAAATTGCGCGACGGACAACAAAGCTTCGTATGTTTCGTAGCCGTAGTACGATTTCGCAAATTTTGCATACATGTCGTATAGTATTGCGATTTTATTACGTTCGAAATCCAAATTTATATCATCGTACGGGAAAAAATCAGAGTTCACAAATAGTTTTACGTTTACTAGCGCACACGCGTCGAAATGAGTGGTATCCTTAGAGAGTACGTTTCGCTTTCCAGTTTGAAGCGAAAAGATCACGTAACGCGGTTTTTCCAAATGCGACGTTGTCTTCACAGCCCACGAATGTTTGGTCGTGCTCTGAAGTAGAGGAAACTCGTACAAATCCCAAGATCGAAATCCCATGCTGAGATACCGTCCGTTTTCCAACGTTCGCAAAAGTGACAATTTGTTGACGTCGTTCAGTACTACGTGTGGCATCTTCCATTGCACTTTCGATAACGTGAGTGTATAGTCGTCTGCGTTGCTCGCGATAACGCAATTGTTGTCGTTACGCGCACGTATCAGGACTAGTTCATGTCGGGCGTTTATCACCATACGTTTGTAATCCTCGCAAAATCCCAGAAGTATGTTAAGCGGTACGCTGAAGTTAAAATCTTCAGTTATCGATCGACCTGTTAATAATGCGTCTAGACCTAATGTAAGCTTCCATCCGGCATTCTCCAACGTTCTGCTTCTGTCAACTGTCAACGAAACGTAATTTTTAACTGTACTTGTAATACCAACGTTTCTGTTTCTGTCAATTTCCACTCCATCTAATTCGTAGCGAATTTCGTCGAACATGAATGCGACGCAACTATTCGACAGTCTCGGTGGTTCGTTGGTACTTCTTTCCTTCCTTCGCACGACGAATTTTCCCTCGATGTAGAGCAAACTTTCGCACGGGAATGTGTAAAGATCCTGATGTTGAATCAGTATCCGTATTTCATCGCTGTATCCGAATGTAGTATTAGCGTACGGATTGTAAGTGTGAGTCTCTATTTTAACGATGCGATCGTCGAAGATCGGAGCACCTCCGATCTTCAGGATATCACGATTCATTTCTCACGACGAATCCGAGAGATCGTAGAAAGGCGACGTTCGTGGCGTTCAATCGACCTCCTTTTTTTTGTTTTTTCGTTCGATCTTATCGATTTTTGAACGGTTGCCACAATGTCGACGTTTGCGATGCGTTCACTCCGTCGTACGAATCGTTCAAGACGAGCATCTTCCGCCTTCGAACATAGTATCCCCTAACGTCTACGTCATATGTGAAGTCGAATCGATATCTCTTCGCCGCGAAAGTCGATCAACTGTCCGTTCTGATCCACTACACGTATCGTTATATCGGTAATGTTTCGTGCGATGACCGGGAGATAAATGACGTGCGTTGGAGTAACGGATAGTTTATATCCTGGAGGAACGTTCGCCGCGAATTCGTGTATCGTATGTGCCGGTCTGTCGTTGTTGTACTCACCCGAGGTAATGTTACACTCAACGCGAATTATATTCACGTTCATAATTTCCACCAATTCGTCCGACGCATGCCACTTGTTCGGTCGTAACACGCGAGACGTCGAAAAGCCCAACAATGAACCGATACTGTTCGTTTTGGAAAAATCCACTAGATATTCACACTTGATCTCACTTCTCATGGTGTTTTCGTTCGCCCGAAGAATTAATACAGATTCCTCCCTAGCTTTATTCTTTTCGTAATCGTATATTTCATCGATCTCATCGGTCTCCTCGAGTTCGTTGTTGTTGATAGTATTCGGTAATGTATTGTTAACTATAGCAGCCCTCGGATACTTTTCTATAGCGTTCAATTCGTACGATTCCTCGGGAATCGTGATCGTAATGTCGTTGGTGTCGAAGTGGAATTCATTATTCGAGGAGGTGACGTTCGGTATCGTGTTGTACGTTTCGAAATTCGTAAGACCCAAATCGTATTCGCTATCGCTCAAGTCCAAAGCGGAGAAGTAATTCACCGCGAGGACACTGTTTCTTCCCGTTAGTGTGAGAGTCAACGACATGATCGTAGCACGAAAGTTACCGCTGGACTGTTCGGATCGCTGTGCAATATATCACACGAAGAGCTTCTTCCTCTTCCAATCGATCTCCCAGAGAAATCGCAGACACAACTGACCGCAAATGCTTTGATCGTACGACTGATATGGTCGTCTGTTATACGTAATGTTACCTCCGAGATATCGTTCGAGTTTCCTCGGCGGTTTGAGATTACCGAAACTGTCAAAGTAGACAGCCTTGTCTCCCCTCTTCGCGTAAGCAACCCAGTGTGTACCGAGGGCTGTCGAATCGTCGAGGTTCACGATACCGCACTCGTTACGACGTGATTTCGCGGGTATCGCATCGCGCATGAATACACCTCTGAAGAACGGTAATTTTAAAAGATACGCCGAACGACTCAATTGCTCGTTCGTTGTGGTGCCAGAGATCGGTAATCTAAGAGTTTCTACCGTTTCCTTCCATGTTTTTTTTTTTACCTTCGACCTCTTCCTCATACAACCGCCGCGTTTGTATGGTGCAATGTACAGACCGCGACCCTCCATCGCGCGATTATGACATGTTGCAATTCTTCGAGTTGTCGTCGAGCGGCTTTACGATCGCTCACCGCTTTCGCCACGCTAGCTGCTCCTCCGATCAAAGACCCGAGCGCTCCCAACACTGGTAAAATCGGTAGGAAACCACCGCGTTTCGCTACAGATAAAATCCTCTTCCTCTTCGACTTTTTCCTCCTCTTCACACCCATGCCCAATTTTGTCTTCGCCTTCATGGCTGCCCACACGGCTGTCGCGGCGGCTTTCTCACCGAACGTCGAATCGCTTGCTGTAATACGCTGTCGTGCTCTCTCGGCGAGAGCTCGATCAGCAATGTGTCGACTGGTTAGGTCTTTGCATTGCGAATACGCGATATCGTGTTCGCGACAAACTGCGTCTAATTGATTGATGCCTCGATCGCCGCGAGCTAATCGTTTCGCAAGGTGCGTGCCAGGTCCGCAAAATTGATATCCAGGTATATGTAATTCAAATGGAAGCGCGTTTATCGCTGCGTTCAGTAAACCCGCACCGTGCCCAGATATCATTTCAGCACGTTTTTTACATATCTATGAGACATTGTACACAATTCTTGATAAGAGGCGGTGGACCGTCTATATGCGTTTGTTGATCCGGAAGATTGTAATGCTCGAAACACGTACGACAACGTTTCACCTCAGTATCGGCTTTTATATGATCGGGTAATCGATCCCACATCTGTTCTATATAATTTTCAAAATCTCGCAGAAGAACGATCCTTGGTATGTACACCCACGGTAATTAATTCTGTCCCTCGGAAATTTTCACAAAATAAAAAATGACCACCTTTCTATATTAATTGTCACAATCCATGCACGATTAACGTTACGACTGAATCTTATCATGCATGAATAGTGACAATTATTATAGAAAGGAGGTCACTTTTCATTTTGTGAAAATTTCCGAGGGACAGAATTAATTACCGTGGGTGTACTGCAGTTGTTCGGCGGTAAAAGCGAGAATGTCACGTTTTTTTGATAACAATCAGAATAAACATTTTTTGAACGATTACTAGTCACAATAAATGACAAACTGTGTGAAATGCTCGTCTGTTCGCGGTATAAATAGCACGAGACTCTCCCGCGTCGTATCGAAGTCCGCGCACGCGCGTCACGAGAGCGACAAATGCGATTCGTGCAACAATCTCGAACGATAGGAGTATCGAATCTCGATTGGAAGACGCGACTGATGTCGCGTGAAACGGTCAGAGAGAAGTGCAGACACGGCTCTGCGCTACCTAGTACGATTCGTTGCATCATCTGCGGACCCTCCAATTGCTGTAAAACGAATATTTTGTTAAGTTTGATAGAGAATCCACATGGTCTACGTTTCGAAAATGTTTACGTATACTCAAAATCTTTGTTTCAACCTAAATATCGATATCTCGAGGAGCTGCTAGAATAGATCGACGATATTGGTTATTACGCATTCTCTAATAATGGCGACGTTATTCCACCTGGCGAAGCGCTTCCGAACTCGATTTTCGTATTCGACGACGTAGCCTGCGACAAGCAGAATACTATCAGGGAATACTTCGCTATGGGTCGACATGCGAGTATCGATTGTTTTTATCTCTGTCAAACATACGCGAAAATACCAAAGCATCTCATACGCGACAATGCGAATTTTCTAATTCTATTCAAATAAGATGGTATCAATCTGAAACACATTTACAACGATCACGTGAATACCGATATGTCTTATGAAAAATTTTGCACGCTGTGTCATCTGTGTTGGCAACGTAAATACGGCTTCGTAGTTATCGACAAGGACAGTGCGTTACATAACGGTAGGTACAGACGCGGCTTCGACGATTTCGCGATACTGTGAATCGTGCAGTGTCTATTGTGACGTCGCAACGATATGAACGATACGAAGAACATCGTCGAACGTGAGCGAACCGCAAAATTGATTGCGA